GGAGCTGGTGGTCTATCCCCCCCCCCCCCCCCCCCAAAAAAAAATGACCCGGAACCCACACAGGAAAGACAACCGATACGCATGTTTCTTCTGCCTGCTATCTTATTGATGTCCACACGAAAACCGTTTTCCCCGTGTGGGTTCCAGTGCCCAATTCGGCCCCGCCCCACCAGATCTTCTGCTATCTGACAAGCATGCGGTAGAAAAAGCGACTAATAAGGAAATGGCTGATTTTGACTTTGTTGGGCTTTTAGGGGCAGATATCACTAAACTGTGAATCACAATGCAATGCGCCAACCACTATTCTCAGGCCGAACAAAGAAGAAGAAGAAGAAGAAGAAAGTTGTCAAGAAATTAAAGGACAATTACATTTGAAGGCTCTGCAAACACAAAATTAGACACTGACTGACTTTCTACCCCACCAGGACATCACACATGCGACAAACACCCGATGACACAATGTGCCACCATGCGGGTGAGGATCACCGTGGAGAGGTCCCAGAAACCGCATTCAGCCTCTAGGCCATATTTATGGCCAGGCTATATTGCGACCCCTGGCAAGAGTCAGAGTAGGGTTTCAAATAAAGAAAAATTTCGCCCTAAAAAGGACGCAAAATATTAATAATAAAAAAATAGACAAAAATAACATGCATATACGTTCTGCCTTCTGTCATGTTTGTGTACATGTTCACCATTTTATGATTTACTGTTGCATAAACTAAAGTATCTCAATAACTAGGAATAAAACACAACTCTAGCTACTGCCTGTATGTACGACTTACTTTTAATGGCGGTGAAAAAAACCTGAAAAAATGGGTTGGGAGGGGGGGGGGAGGAGGAGTTGAAAAGTGACTTATATACGGAAGTGATCGTGTTTAGTTGGCCCACTGGTGACAATTTATGTGGAAGCGGCGGAGGTGTGGTTTTATAGATGAATAATGACAACACCCTAGACAGAGTAATGAAGATTGCCTACGTCGAAGGGAGACAATCTATATTTATTGGTTAAGTCATGAGAAGTAGACAACTGGAGTACATTGGGACAGTGGGCAAGTTGTAGGGAAAAAGAGGCAGAGGCAGACCGGGAGAGATGAAACTGGACAGTCTGACATCACGGTATGGAAGATCATCTGTGTCAAAATTGACAGAAAGTAGGTGAGACAGAAGGTTGTGGACATACATGACTACCAACGGCAAACGATGTGGATTGTAAGAAGGACGAAGAGACGATAAAGAGGGGAAAGGAGTGGGTGAGGGTGGGGGGGGGGGGGGGGGGGGGGGCTAAGGATTGAAGGCCTCATGGTTAGTGCAGTTGCCACGAACTGTGTGTCATAGGATGTTTTTTTTTTTTTCGCGACACGACAGAAGCAATCCTCGATCACCTTATCGAAGATCGAACCAGGATCTCCCGCGTGAAAGGCCAGGGTTCTAACTGTTGGACCATCAGCTCATCAATAACTAGAAATCAAACGTACAAAAGTACAAGTACTAGGTCTGCTGACTAAAGTCGATTCAGCCTAATACATGTACCCGGAAATTTCCTTGGAAGTAAAGTCAGCCTGCGCAATGTTGACCACAGCGCGAAAGTTGAAATCCCCGGTTGGGTTCAGGGGGCAGGGGAGGGAAAAGAACAGACCCACGCACCCCCCCCCCCAACAAGCATAACGTAGGAGTCAACTAATTACGGACTTCCTTCGATGTCGAAGTGCATATTGCCCGGGCGCCAAAAAACAACCAACTGCACCCTAATAAGCCAGTAAAACGGATATACATGCGAAACTCAGGCCCTGGCACAAAGCCGAAGTCAAAATGGACGAACTTTTCGCCGGAGCTTACAGCCGGTGAACAAAGAAAAGATAAGAAAGTTTCAACCCCCCCTCCCCCTGATATTTCTGAACAGCAATAATCGTGTTTACAACTTCTAAAGACCAGTGAGTAGTCGACGATGGTCGACATCATAGCTTTACTACCCACGATATTTTCCAATACTAAAGTAGCAGTATTTTTGGTAATAAAGTAAATTACCTTTATTTTATGTAGTTAATTCATGATAATTTCCCCTTCTAGCATTGCAGTGTAAAACTGACATCTGACTCGAAGAGCCGTTATTCGGATCCGAATAGCAGGAACAGCTTCCAGAAAGCCCGTTCTACCATGTAAACAATTATACTGAGGCACTTTATTGTTAGAGGAGCCGTAGTGGTTTAGCGACTAGGCGCTCGCCTGCTGATTGGGAGGTCGTGTGTTCGGATCCTGATGAAGGCGGACTTTTTTCAAAAATGATCTTGGCTCTCAGGCCGGCCAAGCCTTGAGTGGGTACCAGATATAGTCCTGGGAAGCAAGGGCGGCCGGCGTGATCACCCGCCGAGTGCCGATTGGTTTATAAAATATAGGTCTAGCCCTATATGCCCAGTACGCCTGAAGGCATTGAAAAGGGTCCTTTACTTTATGGTTACGTCCGGCTCTCTAGCGTAGTTGGCTAAACCGGATTGCGCGATGAGCGGGTGACGAACTCCTTGTGGTCCGGGTTCACATTTTCTCCCAGATTTACGGTATTTATAATGGAATTAAGGCCGAAAGGTTGCGATATCCACAATACCGAGCCTAAGAGTTAACAACTCATGGCTTCTGGATACTAAAACAAACAAACAAACTTTATGGTTATGAACTAAGCCATTACCTAATACGAGCGGGTGGAGTTATTTCATGCTTACCTCCCTTGCATTACAATACTTTTAACCACCGTATCGAAGCGAGACCAGTCTTTTTCACTGAGTAGTTCGGGGAGCCACCAGAATTATCCTCCTTGCCAGCTAAGGACTGCAGGTGATATCATGCTGGTGTGGCTTTACAGATGCTCTACTTTAACCTTAAGAGGCTACGTTGTCTCGAGGCATGGTGTCCTTCTCTAGTGCTAGAGGCCCTGGTTCAATCCCCGGTGAAAACTAGGATTTTTTCACGTGAACTTCTAGTAATTTTCCCTGGTCTATGAGTAGTCTTTGCGTTGGTTTCGACAGTGGTATCAAGAAAGCCGACCGTCCAGAAAGCAATGGCAAACTACTGGACGTAAATTTGCCATAAAAAATCACACAACAGCCAGAGGCTGCTTGGTTCTGCAACGCCCTGTAAAGGATACGCAACTAACCTATGGGTTGTAAGACCGGACGCCCGTCTGTATACTTGCGCACGTAAAAAATCCCTTGGCAGTTGGAAATCGAAATAAGTAGCCTAACGGCGCTGCCTGGGCAATATTTGGAGTTAAAAATCTACCCAAAAAGTATTTCAGGATCCTCGCCGGTGCAACAGAGTTCGTGCACTGCGCAGAGATTCTTCAGACTCAGGCTTGAGTTAGAAGAAGATTGGATCACTTAAGGGTTACAACCTTGTGCCTTTAATTTCTTTGCTGGTTGGACAGGCAATCTGGCCTTGGCCTGTGGTTCTGCCACAGCACTGTTCGTTAGACTCACGTGGTCGAACCTCCAGGTTCCAGTTGGGCTGAGATTTACAGGTTTGAGGTGTCAAACTTTTTGGGGTGCAGCCCCAATCGGATAAAGCGCACACACGCACCGGCTAGGTGAACACACTAAAGGTCCGTTACGAAAACAACATGGAGACGAACGATGGAGAGTGACCTGCATGCGGCATATCTAGCATGGAAAACTGCACTGAAGATTGCACAGAACAGGAAAGCACGAAGCCTCATGTGCCGCCAGGCATAAAGAGAACTGATCATGATGATATCAGAGTTAATTATTATTATTTTTTTGCGATTCTAATATTTGCAGTTCTTCGGCGTGGCTTAAACAGTATGGGGGTCAGTGTCTGACCTTTGAAAATAAGAAAGTCCACAGGTTTTATCATTTTGGGAGCCACTGATCAAAACTATCCGAACACAGTCCTGTGTCGATTTGTCAATACAATTATCAGTCTGTTAATGGTCTCATTTCATGTATCTACCTTATATACTTCAACAGTATTGCTGTATGTCTATGTATGTCGTCGGTCTTGTCGGTGTGGGTTTCGGGGCCCGATTATGGATTGGGGGGCGGTGGGGGGGGGGGGGGGGGGGGCGGCGTGAGAACAACAATAGATCCACTGCCTCCCCAACAAGCGTGCCGCAAGAATCTGCTAACTGAGGTTTTACTACGAAGTCTGAGTGCATCTGCCTGATAGGCAAGGAACTTACTGCCTGTATACAAAAAGTCAAATCTTTAACAACATTTTTGCACACAACAGTCAGGTTCTTGAACAATACTTAAGTCCATTGGTGGACGAACAATCAAAACTTTCCGCTGGAGTTTAAAGCTGGTAAACGCGAAAAAGAAGAAGAAGAAGAAAAAGAAGAAGAACGAGAAAAAGAACAATAAGAAAAAAAAAGAAGTGGAAGTGTCTGTCTGTCTGTCTGTCTGTCTGTCTGTCTGTCTGTCTGTCTGTCTGTCTGTCTGTCTGTCTGTCTGTCTGTCTGTCTGTCTGTCTGTCTGTCTGTCTGTCTGTCTGTCTGTCTGTCTGTCTGTCTGTCTGTCTGTCTGTCTGTCTGCCTGCCTGCCTGCCTGCCTGTCTGTCTGTCTGTCTGTCTGTCTGTCTGTCTGTCTGTCTGTCTGTCTGTCTGTCTGTCTGTCTGTCTGTCTGTCTGTCTGTCTGTCTGTCTGTCTGTATGTCTGTCTGTCTGTCTGTCTGTCTGTCTGTCTGTCTGTAATGTGTTTGTGTGTTTGTTAGATAAAAAGTTAAAAAAAAACTTTAAATCAAATGCTATGTTACCTCTTCTTACATATGGTGAATCCGCTGCAAAAATGAAAACAAAACAAACGAATAAATTAACCATACGAATACATGAGTGAGTCATTATATATATAGTGTCTATATCTGCGTGCGCATATGTGAGTGAAGATAGGCCTGTTCCACCATGTATGCTTGTTGTATGTCTGTCTTGTGTCAGTGCGTCTGCTTATTCCACTGACTCACACCCAAAAAAAAAAAAAAAAATGGATTGGCTGTATTACCTCTTCTCACGTTGGATGAATCCGCTGAAAGTGAAAAAAGAATAAATTAATTAACCATTTACATAAATCCTATACAGTGTGTGTCTGTGTATGCGCACGCGCATTTCTATGTGTATGAGCAAAACGGATTGCTTCATGTGTATCAGCATACACGTACGTAATTTAACTGCTTCACACAGATCACTTTGTGTGCTTTAAATATATAAATGTACCACATGCATTATCATGTCAATCAACCAGTCAACAAACCAATCAATCATTCATTATGCAAGGTCTCTACAGAACGTCGCTCTTTTCACTGCAAGCCTGAAAGTCTCTCTTTCTCTTGTCATTTCTCCAACCCTATGTGCTTTCATAGCCAATGTATTTTCAATGTCCTATATTCACATTCGTGGAGGTTGGCTTCTGCTTTGGTTTCCGGAATAATGTTCCACGTACACACGTGTACACGTGTGCCTCGGTAGCGCAGTAGGTAGCGCGTCAGTCTCTTAATTACGACTTTAACATGTGTACAGGGGTTCAAGTGCACACTCTTCTTCTCAAAAGATCCGTGGGTACATTGTGTTGTCGACTACAGCTAGGCTCTGACATCTGCCTCTTTCGGCCTAACAGTTCCGATTTCAGCAATTTTGAATTACCCGTCTTTTACGACACGCTAATTAAGGAACAGTGGGTCTTTTATTTTTCGACCCAACATTGGGATCAGGAACCCACACGGAGAGGCTTGGCTTACCAGGCGCAGACGCCATTTCTGCTCATCTAGCATTTAAGAGTGAATGGCGTGTTAATAAGATTATCTCCCCTTGTGGGTTTCGGTGACACAGTTAAGAAGGATAAAGAAAAATACCCACTGTCACATAAAAAGCATGTCATTAAAGGCGAATTTGGTGTGGGTTCCGGGACCCTATTATATGGAAAACAAGAATAGACCCATTGCCTACCCAAAAGCATGTCGTAAGAGTCGACTAATTGGGAGCTTCCTTCGAAGTCGAATGCATCTGCAGGAGAAGCAAGTAACCAGCAGTCTGCATACAAATGAGTCAGATCTGTAAAACGGATGCACACGAAACACTCAAGTTCTGGAACAGGACTGCAGTCCAGAAGTGGACGAACAACCAGAACTTTCCACTGGAGTTTACAGACGGCGAACACGAAGAAGAAGAAGTTTAAAGACGACTATTTAAGGTTTTGCTCAAGCCTAATGTGCTGGTTCAAAGACACAGATACTGTAGCCTAGTGTGCTCCCTTCTGTCCAAAGCACCGCACAATGATGATGATTGGCACTTTTCCGTTTTCTAGACGATAGTGGTATATTGCACTATGAGGAGGCATGGGTCTCACATTCCATGGCGATGGCGAGTGTGACTAGCAAGACCCGCCCGTGTCAGGAAAGTCTTCTACAATGATAGCATGACATTTCAGGACCACTGTTGTCAACATTTGCGTTTAATCCGTTTCTTCTCAGACGCTCAGCTCTCATCCTTTCTGCAATCTTTTCTCTCTTCAGTCTCATTCCCTTCCCGACATGCCCTCTCCACACAACACAGTCAGTGGCATTTTGTTTTAATGAGTCCACCCCAATACCTGTATCATTCATGTCCCGCTTGCATAGATCTGTATACCGTAGTAAAGGTTGGCCTCGACATCTTCTATCCGCCTTTAATTCACCATAAAGTATGCTCAGCGTATCAATGCAACACATGGTATGTTATTATTTATTTTATGTTTGGTCTCGGTATGCAAAACACACCTGGCCAAATATTGTAAATTCAACTCAGTATACGCTGTATCTCTAAAAGTTATACACTGGTGTCCTTTTCGCTGTCATTATTGTGGTTGGCTTTCTGTTTTGAAATCACCTAGGAAAATTTTGGATTGGAAAGATAAACCTTAACACAACGTGCCAACCGCTATTGTAAGAACAATCAAGAAGAAGAGGAAGAAGAAAACGATCATCATTTAGTCACAGTGAAGAAAAGCATGATATTTGAATAACGTGACACAGTTAGTTCAGGTGAATTAGGGGTTGTGAGTGCAGTTTCATAACTCTGTATTATCGGGTTCGATTCAGCTAAAAGTGAAATGGCAGCAGATAGCTTTCGCAACACCTGGGCCTTTGAACCGATGTACCAAGTCTGAAATCAGTTTTCACCAGTGAGAGAGAGAGAGAGAGAGAGAGAGAGAGAGAGAGAGAGAGAGAGAGAGAGAGACAGAGAGAGACAGAGACAGAGAGAGACAGAGAGAGAGACAGAGAGAGAGACAGAGAGTCTGAAATTGGCCTAAACCTGTCTGTAAGAGCCTGAAATCGGCCGCCACCCGACAGATAGACAGACAGACAGACAGACAGACAGACAGACAGACAGATAGACAGAGAGTCTGAAATCGGCCTTAACCTGTTAGTAAGAGCCTGAAATCGGCCCCCGCCCGATATATATATATATATATATATATATATATATATATATATATATATAGAGAGAGAGAGAGAGAGAAAGAGAGAGAGAAAGAGAGAGAGAAAGAGAGAGAGAGAGAGAGAGAGAGAGAGACAGACATCGGCCGTCACCAGTCAGAGAGAGAGCCTAAAATCGGCCTCAACTCGTCAGAGAGAGCCTGAAATCGACCTCCACTCGTCAGAGAGAGCCTAAAATTGGCCTTAACCCGTCAGAAGGCGAGGCAAAGAGCTTAACAACGTTGCCAGGGAGATCTTCATTCCCTTAACCTTACAGCGACCACCTTGTTGAACAAATTACGCCTGTCTTATGCGCAATCCATGTTTTGCCACACTTACCATGAAGTACGGTCACTTTCAAATTCGCTATATCATTGCGGCTGCTGCGACATATGTAGTCCCCGCTATCGGTAAACGAACTGTGTTCAATGATGAGTTCTGACACGAAAGCCCGATCAGCTAAAGACTGGTATTTGTCCATCACCACATGTCTGTCGAAAAGACAAAAAATGGTTCACTAATGATTTATTTATAATTTTTTCGTATGCGGTTCATACGAAGAAATAACGACATTCGGAAAGGGGGGGGGGGGGGGGGGGAGAAAGGGGGGGGGGGGAAGGGTTTTGGTGTCACAGTTAAGAAGGATAAAGAAAAATACCCTGTGCCCAGTGTTGCCACTTTGGATGTTTTACATCCAGATTTAGATGTTTTCCCTTGCATTTGATGGCGTTTTTTGTCGTTAGGATGGTAGATATTTTCTTGAAGTTTTTTATTTGGAGTGACTTTATCAAATCTAACCTAAGAAACAGGATGAAATTTGACCTCTTAAATGCTATATTGACAATACAATTCGGCCTGATAAGAGTAGGAAAAGGCTGTTCCACTTATCAGCTCCCTGATTGAGTATTAACAGAAATTGGAACAGCTAAAGCATACCAGAGTCATTTTGGATCTGAAGCTTCAAATTCATCATCCAAGCTAAGTTTATCCTGTGGATCTTGTGAGGCAGACTTCAGTAAAGATGAGGACATGATTCTAAAGGATAAGTCATATCAATTGCTATGTAATTTGTGACTCTTTCCATGTGGATGTTTTTTTCTAGATGTTTTGACTCCGTTTTGGATGTTTTTTGCCAAAGAAAAGTGGCAACACTGCCACTGTCACAGTATAAGCATGTCATTAAAGGCGAATCCCCGTGTGGGTTCCGGGACCCTATTATAGGGAAAACAAGAATAGACCCACTGCCTACCCTAAAGCATGTCGTAAGAGTCGACTAATTGGGAGCTTTCTTCGAAGTCGAATGCATCTGCCTGAGAAGCAAGGAACCAGCAGTCTGCATTCAAATGAGTCAGATCTGTAAAACAGATGCACACGAAACACTCAGGTTCTGGAACAGGACTGCAGTCCAGAAGTGGACGAACAACCAGAACTTTCCACCGGAGTTTACAGACGGCGAACACGGGCAAGACATACACGCAGCTTTTGGACACAGCAGGTATTTCAAGTTTTCTCAGTGTCAAGAGGGGGACAGCGTGGTCTCGAGGTATGGTGTCTGCCTCGAGTGCTAGGTGTTGCGGGTTTATATGTGTTGCATATGTTTACTGTTATATGATCATAGTATGCTTTACAGATAGCGTAGCGTAGTTAGCTGAACCTGACTACGCGGCGACCGGGTGACGAACTCCTTGTGGTCCGGGTTCACGCCCGGGGGTAGACAGAAAAGCCACATTTCTACCAGATTTACTGTATTTATCATGGAATCAAGGCCGAAGGGTTGCGATATCCATAGTAACGAGCCAAAAGGTTAAGAACTCATGGTTTCTGGATATAAAAAAAAAAAAACCAAGACAAAATAAAATTGAAAGATGAGTGTTTCGAAGGGTCGAATTGAAAACGGGCCTGCGTATCCAATTTTTGATTCTTTGAAAATAAATTTCGTACGTTCGTCTCTCTCTCTTTCTCTCTCAGTTCTTTCTCAGTGTATATATATATATATATATATATATATATATATATATATATATATATATATATATAATATATATATATATATATATATACACACATAAATTCATACAACTTAGAACATAAAGAGTGGTGTATTAACAAGTGCACTAGTGCTCCCATCGAACAGGCCTAGTTTGGACACTCCCAAGACAAAATATTAATCATAACTACACGGGCTTGGAAAGGACACACAATCACACATATATAGAATGACCTTTAAAGATCTGTTCACTTTTAATTCTCAGAGACCCAAAGTTTGGCTTTCTAGAATGCAGTCAAGGTCCGAACGTTGCACCTGTACAACTGTGCATCCCGTGCATCTTCATCAATCTGTGTCTGCCCACCTGTGCTGGCGCCATGCACTTGATCATCCTTTCCTCTGTCACTAGATTTCCTATGATGGGCGCGTTTTCGCACGTGCGCTAATTGTCTAGCTATTTGCGAAAGTTCCTCGACTGTTCCTCACAAGCACACACAGGCGCGCACACATGCAATTCTGGCCTACAGCCACAAAGAAATAAATAATGATGGTGGTGTTTTGGAAAGAAGTATCTATTTGCACGAAATCTTTACACATAGACAAACCAACGGTAGACTACTCTTAGGAGATAATCAGCAAACCCGTGTAAATTACATTAGCACGTTATTGTTAGTACGACTGATAGGGAAACATAGTATTTAAATAGGTATATACAACATAGTCACCTCAAAGATGGCTAAACTACCGGATTCATATCTCTTATGTTTCGTGTGCTGTTGCTCCTGTTGCTTCTTCTTCTTTTTCTTCTTCTTCTTCTTCTTCTTCTTCTTCTTCTTCTTCTTCTTCTTCTTCTTCTTCTTCTTCTTCTTCTTCTTCTTCTTCTTCTTCTTCTTCTTCTTCTTCTTCTTCTTCTTCTTCTTCTTCTTCTTCTTCTTCTTCTTCTTCTTCTTCTTCTTCTTCTTCTTCTTCTTCTTCTTCTTCTTCTTCTTCTTCTTCTTCTTCTATTTCTTCTTCTTCTTCTTCTTCTTCTTCTTCTTCTTCTTCTTCTTCTTCTTCTTCTTCTTCTTCTTCTTCTTCTTCTTCTTCTTCTTCTTCTTCTTCTTCTTCTTCTTCTTCTTCTTCTTCTTCTTCTTCTTCTTCTTCTTCTTCTTCTTCTTCTTCTTCTTCCTCCTCCTCCTCCTCCTCCTCTTCTTCTTCTTCTTCTTCTTCTCCTTCTTCTTCTTCTTCTTCTTCTTCTTCTTCTTCTTCTTCTTCTTCTTCTTCTTCTTCTTCTTCTTCTTCTTCTTCTTCTTCTTCTTCTTCTTCTTCTTCTTCTTCTTCTTCTTCTTCTTCTTCTTCTTCTTCTTCTTCTTCTTCTTCTTCTTCTTCTTCTTCTTCTTTCTCTCCTTCTTCTTCATTCACAACTAAAAGGGCCCCTGACATATTGTGTTGTGATTTACAGTTAGGCTACAATATGTTAGGCTAAAATATGTGTGCCTTTCAACCCAACAAATCCGATTTGAGCAAATACCTAATTAGTCAAATTTTATGAAATGTTTGTTTGTGGGGGCAGGAGAAGGAGGATGAGTGGTTTCTTTTTGCTACCTTAAATTGGGATCCGGGAACCCACAAGGTGACACTTTACAAGTACTTTAACATAATTTAATCTCATCAAATTATATTTTGGTATTTCTTTTCTTCTCCTTCCTCTTCTTTTGTCTGTGTCTGCCTAATGCAGCTAGGCCTGGTCGTTCAACAGATAATAGGTAGCCGAGGTAAGGGCACTTTGTTGCTTGGTATGTTAAGAAATCTTAGGCTGCCAGCGACTCCGTCAATCCATTTTCTTTTTGGTCTCCCTCTGCTTCTTGGTGTTTCTATTTTCAGGCTTTCACTCTCACTGACCGCATGGTTGGATTCTGTTTTCTGATTAGATAACTCAGCTATACCAGTCGTTGTTTCTCAATGCATTTAACAAGGTTATTGCTTCAATAGTTCTTCGATTCTTTTCATTCCACACATGATCTTTTTCTGGTTTTGTTTGCAGTCTTTCTTGAACATCCCAGTTCACATCTGGCTAGTTTCTTCTCGTGTTCTTTGGTTAATGTCCACGTCTGACACTGGTAACCTAAGGCTGGTATACAGATTATATTTCTCTGTCCCCATAATTTAATTATTGTACTCACTATTTATAAAACTGCTGATAGAGACGTCGGGCGATCTCTCTGTCAAACCTCTACACCCCAAAGTAGAAGAGGAGCGACTAAGAAGTAAGAAAGTAATATTTGTGCACTTTAAATCCTCTATCATACCCATCGTGGAAGTCGCTAGACGCTCGCCGCGGATCGGAAGGTCGTGGGTTCGCTCCCTGGCGGAGCCGGACTTTTTTCAAAAACGACCTTGGCTCCCAGGTCGACCCAGCATTGAGTGGGTACCTGGTGCAGTCCTGGGAGGTAAAGGCGGCCGGCGTGATGCCGACCACATCACCGATCCTTAACTTTACTTACTTTACATACCCATTCATTCTTTTACAAAAGTAGCGCCCCAATCAACGTAAAAGAAAACAAACAAGTATACCTGTATTTGTTAGAATCAATCTTATCTCCGTCTTTAAACCAGTCTATCTCATCTGGGATTCTAGGACCTCCTGAGGCATTGCAGACGAGACGGATTTTCTCGCCCAAATCCACATACCTCTTACCCTGGACGTATATCACTGAAAACAAACGAAGAGGTCATCACATTCGTCAATAATTCATTTGGTTCATGAGATGAAAAACTACCACATAACTTTCTTCAGACTGAATTTCTGTCGTGCGCATTTACCCATAACAGTTTCTCCAACTTACCCATAAGAGAGTTTCTCCCACGCACGTACTTTAAAAAAAAAAATGGTTAAACACTTATGGAGAGTATTAAACAGCAGCAAGGCATTTTAACACGCAACCAGACAAAACATAAATAGATCAACACCAGCAGATATTTCAGGGTATTGGAAACTGGCGACGGGATCTGGCCTTGTAGTGGCGGTTTTGATCTCCAGGGCATAGGATTTGTCTGGTTTAGGAATGCATCCGCCTCTCCACGTGAGACTTGTTCTGTCTCGGCACTCTTGATTGCTTCTCCCTTCCCCAATCCCCTCTTCTTTTAGCCCGTCCCCATTTCCGTTTGATACTTTCCTCAGGTCTGTAATTGTGGAAAATAGAAGAGATAAGTGTTTGATGGGGGAATCGTATAGCCGCTAGTCAGTCGCATACTGAATATGTTGAGGAGAAGATGAGTTCAGGATCTACTGTAGAAACTGGACTGCACATGGCGAGACTTGGGTAGAGATTTATACGAACGGGATTTACATTAGAGTTCATGTCTGTGAAACCTAAACAATGGACATGCAAAATTAGACAGTCAAATAAACGCCATGGAGATACGGGTGTAGTGGAAGAATAATAGATTGCCAAGAAAGAAGATGATGGAGGAGAAGAAAAAGAAGAAAACGAAATCAGAAAGAAGAAGAAGAAAATGAAAGAT